GTGTGGCACTGGTGGTGTGAGAACCAGTCCATACCAATCCTGAATAATCTTTCAACGATTGGATGGAGTGTAATGATCCCCTATGTAGTGCACTGAGAGCAAATGGAAAGCCCCATCTGTACTGGAGGTTTCGTGCCCTGAGATTGTCGTGATCGGCTTAAGTGCACACCTGGCTTGTAGGGTCAACCAAGAAAAATCTGGGTATACGGAAATTGGTGCTTCATGGTATAGGAGAGGTTGCGAGGATTGGCAGAGGACCCTTAGAATTTCCTCTTTGCAGGTGTAATAGTGAAGGCGACAAATAACATCCCTCGGTTTGTCAATCGAGCCCCCTGGGTCTAAGAGCTGTGTGTGCTCTATCCAACATTATTGGCCTATCAGAGAGTTTCTCCAGTATTAGGCTAAAGAGGTTTTGTAGCGTATCTGAGAGGTTTTCCTGTTCACTCTCCAGGAGCCATTTAATTCTGAGGTTGTTTCATCGACCTCTGTTATCAAGGTCATCAAGGGAGTTTTGTACAGCAGATAGGTGAATTGTGTGGGCCTCCAGTGTGTCCTGTTCCTGCTGGATCTGGTTCCTCCAGCATTGAGACCCTGTCTCCCATGTGCCGTAAGTATGTTCCGATGGCGTCCAGTTTGGATTGGAAGGAAACTTCCAGTTTCCCTAGCATTTTGGCTAGGTCCTGTTTAGAAGATTTTTTTTTTTTTTTTTTATATGTCTTGATAAGCTTGAGATAAGGAGTGCTCAGAATCTCCTGGGCTAGATGGTGGTGATGTATTGCCTGGCGATTCCGGCGCCATATTGCGGCCCACCATGGATGACTGCAGATCCGGTTGATCCCAAAAATATTTGGTTAGGGCACCCAATTTACTGTCTGGGGTCTTTTTGGTTGCTGGAATAAGACAGATCATTTTGGGTGACCCAGCTTTTGTTTTATGCCCTATGGTTGTGGATTGTATCCTCTGAAGTTCGGAGCTCCGTTGGGATGTGTCCATGCGGTTCAGTGGTTAGCTCCGCCCCACTACTTTTATTTATTTTTGTTTAGCTCTCTGTTCCTGGGGAATGATTAACTTACTGGTATTTAACTCAATTATCTCCGAGGCCCAGAGACACCTGGGAGGGGCTTGAATTGTATTGTTCAGAGACCCCCTGCTGGGATTCTAGCATAAAAGGCAGAGTTTGGTTCATTAAAATCAATTGTACTCCCAGAACTGTGTCATCTAGTTACTGGGAGGGGAAAGGACTATTCACTGCTCAGCATCTTGCTACAGATCATGGATGATTTAGCAGGGAAAATCCTTGCATAGCTCCAAGGACTATGTATTGTCCAGTCCCTGGGGGGAAATAGAACTAGTCCTCTACACTGTTCCAGGAAGGAGAGCCTCCAGGAGAACCCCAGTCAAGTCATGGCAACTGGGGCAGAAGCGTTGAGGTTATCCCCAGCCTGGTTCCAGCTAGGAAGCAATCCTTGGCAGAGGTAGCAAGTACAGGGAGCTCCGCTACAGTAGGGGAGCCTTAAAAGCATCAGATATAATCCCTTGCTCTGCAATATGTGCTTAACTCACGTAAGAACATAGTCTCATTACTATACTGTTTCTGAGTGGGAGAAGCTGCAAGTCTTCATCACAGTTTTATGAAGTACTCCTAATGTCCAGTATGCAGTATGCAAACACATTGCACTATCTCCGAATTGATACTAGCTTCTCTGTGTAATCATCGTTTTTTTGTTTTTTTTATTTAATTTTTTTTTTTTGTTACAATGCCGCATTAGGATTAATAAAGAGATTTTTTTTTTTTTAAATGAAAAGAAAAGTAGTGAGTGTTCAATTAATGACCCACTCACCAATTTTAACCTATATTCAAATAAAATTTCTCATGATGCTCCCTCCCTTTTCTTAAATGCCTTTCATTGTAGTGGTTTGCTCTGCCTGACTGAGTCTTGCAGTGTGAATTGCAGATGAAGTCAGTTCAAGCTGATAGAGCACTGTTTATTTCCTAGCTGAAGGCTGATCACTCACGCTACAGACTGGATGTGTGGAAAAGCTTTGTTATTCTCAGGGAGGAAGGGTTAAGTGGGTAATCCATTGCCCACTCACCTTTTCCTTTTATATTTTGAAAAATCACCTTTTTAAATTTAAAATAACTCCTGCTGCTGCCCTTTTTTAATTTATACAAGACTGCAAAAAAAAATAAACACTCATTATGAATCAAATAAATAAAGTTATCTCACTTATTTCTTTTTTTAAATAGAAATAATAATCTAATTTTGACAACTCAGAATTGGCACTGCAGAAAATTCTGATATTGCATAGCCGAACCAAATATTTTCACCATATTCAAGTCTACCATAAACCAACCAGTTTTTTAAAAATATTTTGTGCAAGTAAATATTTGTGGCAGTGTGTATCTTTGTGTATGTGTGTCTGTGACATTGTGTATATGTAAGTAGAATTGTACAATCTGTGCATGTATGTCTGTGATACTCTGTATGCTTGTGTATGTGTATGACAGTGTGTATCTATGTGTGCTAATGTGCATCTGTGTGTGTAGCAGCATGAAGCTGTGTGTAGTAGTGTGAATATGTATGTGTATCTGTAAGTGTAGGAATGTATTTGGCTATATTTCTGTGTGTCTTGCAGTGTGTGCATATATATTTAGGAGTGTGTATCAAGTTGGTGTAGCCAGTGGGTTTGTGTGGAGCCACCAAGAGAGTTGTTTGCTGTCTTCATCTTGAGTGTACTTTTAATAGAATAGAACAGTATAGGTGTAATGCATAGAACGTGGATGTATTGTATATCTGAGACAGAGAGGTGATATGATAGTTGGTGTTCGTTTACAATAATTAGATAGTACAAAGTAAGCCTCATTATGCAGAACATCTCTTAACCTCTTAAACTATTTTTTTCTTTCGTGTATGTGATGCTGATATGTTTTGTATATTTACTGTTGCCATGTCATGTAACGCCACATGTTATTTTTTCATTATCTTTTAAAGTGGCTTGTCTATCATGCTTCTTTGTGACTTTGTCTATTATGATGTTGTCCTGGTGTTCATAAACAGGGCCAGATTAACAGCCCAGTGGGCTTGGTGCTGACAATTATGACGGGCCTAATTAAAGAATCATATCGACCAAAAACACTAAAACGCTCCCAAGCGTCATGTATCTGATGGAGATGGTGCTGGAGAGAAAGAAAACAGCAGCTATAAGAAAACACATACCCTATGCTAATCTCCCTCTAATTTATGTTTTCATCTTTCAAGGAAAATCATAACCCCTAACAGCAGTGTCCAGTTAAGCAGGAAGTCAATGGGCACGGTAAAAGGGTGTGCCACTGACACAAATCACGTAACCTGCCAAAAGGGGTGAACATGCCCAAAAAGAGGACGTCTGCCCAAAGAATTAGAAGGCCAGCCTGGCATGAATGCATGTCAGACTGCCTGCCAATCATGCAGCTGGCCAACTAAGGGCATACTATGCAGACAGCACCCTGAGCTTGGCATAAATGCATCTAATGATGCGCTCGCTCAACGCTTTCTAAGGACTGTCCCCTAGCACTCGCTGGTCCACTTGTCTCCTTACCTTCTTACTAGCAGGCAGATGCTCCTGGTATATAGTCTGGGACAGAGAAAAGCTGTATGTAGTGAGTGTAGAAGAAAGGGAACATGCCACAGTGTTAGAGAGACCAAAGTCAGCATTACCTTAAAGGATCACTATAGGGTCAGGAACACAAACATGAATTCCTGACCCTATAGTGGCCCCACATGCCTCCATAAATATAGTAAAAATCTTACTGTATTCAAGCCGGAAGCTGTAACTCTGCATGCTGTTAGACTCAGAAAAACAAGCAGTCTGCTGACATCATTAGAAATGGTGGCCTGATCCAATCACAGTGCTTCACCATAGGATTGGCTGAGACTGACAAAACGGCAGATCAGGGGCAGAGCCAGCATGATTCAAACACAGCCCTGGCCAATCAGCATCTCCTAAAAGAGATGAATTGAATCAATTAATCTCTGAATTAGGAGACACTGAATGTTTGGATGCATTTTAGGCAGCCATGACCCAGGAAGGATCTCTAACAGCCATCTGAGGAGTGGCCAGTGAAGTTATCACTAGGCTGTAATGTAAAGACTGCATTTTCTCTGAAAAGATAGTGTTTACAGCAAAAAGTCTGACGGTAATGATTCTACTCACCAGAACAAATTCAAATTCATTAAGCTGTAGTTGTTCTTGTGACTATAGTGTCCCTTTAACTATATTCATTGTCAGCCAGTTCACACAAGTTTTGTTCCCATACATCCCTCTTAAGTTTCCATACTTAAGTAAGAGTAAGTGAAAAGTAGTTAGGGTTGCCACCTTTTTTGGAAAAACATACTGGCCTTACTAATTTGCATAATTAAATATGTATGGGTGACATCACATGATGTAAATCACAAGGAGTGACATAAGAGAAAATGCTGTAAAATCACTAAAAACTACTTAGTTTGATTATGCTGTTTAGATGGATTCCTCCCAGTGCCCCATGTGTCAATTACTCCAGGTCTCAGCGTTCCTATGTATCAGTGTCTCAGTGCCCCTTGTCCCCAGGTCTCCCAGTGACCCTATGTATGACAGTGTCCCTATGTATCACAGTGTCTCAATGCCCTATGTCTCCCTGTGTCCTCCAGTATTCCCATGTGTCTATGTCCCCATGTATGTGTCACTAGGACACTAGGAAGATGGGGAGACCTGGGGACACGGGGAGACCTAGGGACACAGAGACACCAGTGACACTGGGAAACTAGGGGACACTTGAAGACATGGGGACATTGAGACATGGGGACACAGACACCAGGGCCACAGACACTAGGGACACTAGCTTGGAGACATGGGGACATTGAGACACTTGAGGCACTGGGAGACATGGAGGCACTAGGAGACATGGGGACAGTGAGACACTGGGAGACTAGGGGTTACTGGGAGCCTAGTGGGCACTGAGACACCAGGGACACTGGCAGGGAGACATGGGGACACTGGGAGACATGGGGACACTGTGTCCCCATGTGTCTGTCATAATGTCCCCATGTCTCCCAGTGTCCCTTAGTGTCTCACTGTATGTCTCCTTGCAGCCTTTCCCCTATCCCTTACTTCCCTGAGCTGTAGGCTGTCTCTGCAGGGTGGGAGTTGCTGTCTGGACTCTCTGTAGCTGCACCCCTGCAGATCAGTGAGTATATAGATAGGCAGGGAGGGCTATGCTGGAACTTCTTATCCCTGCCTGTCTCCACACACAGCTGCCCCTACTGACCAGTGCTGGTATTGCATAGTAATCTCTTGTTTATACTAAGAAAAATACCAGCATTTGTATTGCCAATATCACTGCAATATTGCCCCAGCCAGGTGGAATACCTAAGAGTAGTGTGTGGGAAAATTTTTAAAAAAATAAATAAATAAAAAAATAAAAAAATCAATGGGCCTATTCCATGGGCCTGGGCCTGGGCCTGGAGCTGCAGCTCTATCAGCCCCTATGTTAATCCGGCCCTATTCATAAACCATGTTCAGTCTTCCCGCTGCTGCTGTCCATTGATTTGGTGCTCTAATTTCTTTGGTCTAGGAATTTTTCCAGGTAGACATTGCCTGTCTTCCTTGGGGTGCGATTCATCAAGAAATATAACACATGAATGCTGTCTTTGCTGAGATAAGTCTGATTAACTTGAATGGGAGTCGTGCCTCCAAAAGATTCAGTAATCCGTTACAGAGATTAATGGATCACCCCCTGCGTGTCTGTCTCATGTTTGCTTGTCTTCTTTGTTGCATCCTTACTTAACAACAAATTATTTTTTCTTTGTGTCTTTGCTTAGACTATACAACTAGATGAGGGATAGGCAGTCTTTAGCTCTCCAGCTGCTAAAGATTTCAAGAGTTATGCAGCCAGTCCATCCAATAAGAAGTGTAGATGGTTGCCTATCCCTTGACTAGTTCAATTGTCTAAAAGGAGACTGAATTGTAAGACAAAATAGAAAACCTCAAACTTCTCATTACGTAATATGTATGGATGTATAGAAGAATTACGTCTTGCAAACAAAGGTTTTTGAAACATTGGATAGACACATCCTGGAAAATTCTAAATGTCAATTTTTCTTTTCTGCGCATCATATATTATGTCTGTAGTTTGTACAAGAAAATCAAATAAGTAAGCTATTTTAATATCCAGATTGTATGCTTGCATTTTGCCTGCTTTATTTTGATGTTGTATATTATAGTCTCATTTTCTATTTCTTTTAATGTGTCTGTTGACCTTGAATGCGTGTATGTGTTGCTTTCTTTTGTGTGTGTGCCCATGGCAACGGCCAGTGGCTTTTCTGAAAATGTTTTTCCAGGCAAACCAGAAATCTCACATTCTTAAGAATAAATGTATTTTGTTGAAATATGCTTGCTTGGAATCTCAGGGGCCTCTCAGGTGTCTTTAGCAATATAATGACTTCTAATATACAGGAACTTTACCCTGTTTTCACATAGTTCTGCACTGCAGATAAAGAATAAAAGAATAGTTATACATACAAAAAAGGTTTTGTAGTTAGTTGGCTATTGTCATTGTCTCTGGCACCTGGCCTTATATACTACCACTTTCTATGCTGGGTTATCCCTGGATTTGATTCAAGATTCTTATGTCATGATACATTTGAAAGTGTCCAGCAGCACAATGCTCTGCAAAACCACACTAGTAAACCAGCTAGGTCATTATCAGCCACGTAAGCAGAATCAAGCCGAGGGCTGATCTTGTAAATGTATTTTGCAATGAGTTTGAGGTGAAGTTCAAATTCACATTGCACCACACTGACAGGGATCTAAGCTTGCAGCATAGAGATGAGACTGAGATTTTTTTCGATCCGTACTGCAATTTAAACCAATTTGGGTTATCATTCGAATTCCTGAACTCTGAGGCACAAAGTGAATCACAAACCAACCGAAACATGCAATGATCAAGCATGGTCGTTTTGATTTGTGACTCTGGATTTTGCCACAAAAAGAGATAATGCACGCTGTCCGGGTCCATCCTCTAGCGGCCGCTGAGCCTGTCTTGAAATTCTGTGGTAAACCGTAAGTGGAGGCCAAACCATCGTGCCACGGGCGCGTTCGTGATGTCATCCTGGTTTGGGCCTATCTATTTTAGTTACTTATGGGTCGCACGTTTCCATTTCAGGTATTTGTTCGGCTGTTTCAGCCATTTCGTGCACATCTCAGTCGCATTACTAAGTCATTTCATTCCCCTGTTACACGCTGTTCGCATACAAAATACTCAAATGTAATGCCAAGGGGGCCCTTTTCCCCTGCATGAACTGTTCCCGTGTTAAACACTGTTCGCATACAAGTACACAAATAGAGATTGCTTTCGGTTCGAAGCTTCACACGAACACCCAGCGTATTAGGGGTGTTCGTGCAGTTACCCATATATACACCATAATGAGTTTCACATATACAAATGACATCTATTTAGACGTATTTAACTGGTTTTAAGTGAATGCTACATGATTTTGGTTGGGTCCACCTACGGGTAAATATTGGTATTACAGCATAGTTTTTTTTTTTTTCTCTCTCTCTCTCTCTCTCTCTCTCTCATATGAAATCAAACACATTTCATGGTCTTGGTTGTTGCATTTACTTGTGTTGTATTTTTCTTAGGTTCGGTTGGTGGCTTATTTTCTTCATTTACTGTGGTATTGTCCTTTGGCATACATAGGGATGTTTATTGTTCCACTTATCCTGATTAAAAGGGAAGATGTGTACATGCACAAGCTGGTGGATCTGGGGTACAAATACGGTGGTACTGCTTTCTACGACTACGACTCACCGTTCCTTTTCCACAAAAGTCGCTGCAGCTCTGGCTCGGTTCAATTTCAGTATGGATTGGAGTAAGTTGGACACCGAGCTATTCTGTAGGCACTTTGCGGGCCTCAGGACACGGGCTTGTTGGGTTTGCACATCCACTTCGCACTCCACGAATTTGTGCCCTAATTCGGCTGTTGTCTCACAGGGACAATCAATTCCCTTTGCACCCCCGAAAGCGATGCGGGACATTGTATTTTTGGGTAAGTCCCAAATATGCAATAATTTCAACGCTGGCACTTGTGGGTTTAGCACATGCAGACTATTGCACATTTGTTCATATTGTTTCCGGGCCCACGCAAAATCAATGTGCCCAAATAAACTCTTCCCCAAACACTACCTGATGAGCATTAACGTTGTACATTTTTCCTCACTTTTGAGGAGTCACCCTTCCCAGCACTTGGTACACTTTTTAGTTGATGGGTTAACACAAGGTTTTCACACCAGCATCATCCGTTTACCATCTGGTACGGTTGAGTGCAAGAATTTGCAGTCAGCTGTGGCAGATCCAGACTCGGTAGACAAACTGTTAGAGAGTGAATTGGAAGAAGGATTCGTTCTCGGTCCTTTCAAATACCCCATTTCACCTTATGGAGGACGAATCCTATCGGAATAGTCACTGGCAAATCTTCATTCAAATGCAGATTAATCATTGATCTATCAGCACCACACTAATCCGCGCTTCCTAGTCTTAATTCCCTTACACATTCAGAAGAATTCTCATTACAGTACTCCACCATTGGCAATGCTATCTGGGCCATTCTCACAGCTGGGGCAGGAGCTTGGCTCAGTAAGACGGATATTGTCAATGCATTCAAATTACTTTCTATCCACCCCTCACTTTGTCATTTGCACGGCATCAAGTGGCAAGGTTTATACTATTTCTTCACCAGGCTTACTTTTGGTTCCAAGAGCAGCCCCAAAATATTTGACATTTTTGCTGAGACCCTATGCTGGATGCTGCTTAATGGGTGCAGATGCCCAACTGTTATTCATTACTTAGATGATTTCCTTACAGTCGAAGACAACTCTCTACCCCCACACAGTCTCACGACCATCATCGGTCTTTTTGAATCCCTGGGTATACCTGTCTCCCCTAAAAAAACGGAAGGCCATTTCCTGGGGATTCAACTAGACTCGGTTAGGATGCAGTCCTGTCTTCCTCGGTTAGGATGCAGTCCTGTCTTCCTCGTGATAAAATTGAGTGAATCTTGTCTAGTGCTGACTTATACTTACGCCTGTGTTCTTGCAACAGGAAAGAACTACAGTTTTTGCTGGGCTCGCTCAATTTTGCCATGAGGATTATTTCACAAGGCAGGTCTTTTATATCACATCTCCGTTGTTTGTTTCCTGGCCTTCGCTTAGACAATACACATATCACTTTTGACCCTCACGCAACGGCTGACTTATGTGGTGCACCTTTTTACTTAATTGGAATGGGAAAGTGATGTTTCTCCCACCGATATCTGACAGCTCCGGACACACTGGGTTCGCAGCCATCTGTGGTAACAATTGGCTCTGGGGTCCTTGGCCTGTCAAAGTCATAGCCCTACCCGGGTTCTCTAAAACTTCAGCCTTATTTGAACTGTATCCTATAGTGGCGGCAGCTATTACATGGGGTCCAGAATGGTCAGGTCACTCAGTCAGATGCTTCACTGACAATCTAGCTACCTGCCCCATCGTTAACAAAGGGCAATCATCGTTATTGACGGTCATGAGGTTTTTGAGGAAACTCACGTGGGTGGCAGCAAATTACCGGTTTTTCATCACCTGCATGCCCGGGGTCACTAATATTGCCGCTGACCACCTGTCTCATTTCCGCTTATGGGCATTCTATGGGACTCTTCCCGGCTGCCTTTTCACCCATTTCGAGACATGTTCATGGATTAGATACGTTATTGTCACATGCACGGATCCTCAACCACTCTGCACTCTCAACCAACACTACGAAATCTTACGATAGGGCGTTTCACCTATTTACTAAACTCACCACTGAGTTTCATATTCACGACAACTTTGCGATGGTTTCATTATTGGGTTTCACTTCCTTTTGCCACCTAACACTGAAATGATCTTATAATACTATTAAGCTATATCACATGCTTGTATCACACCCTAATAAAACAGGATTTCTTTCTTCCTACCAAATTAAAACCTTACTGAAAGGCATTCAGAAAGCAGACCCTTATCTTGCCACCTAAGAGACTACCCATCCAAGGCAAACT